CTCTTGATGCCCTCAGTCTGGAGGAGGGATGAAACAGAATAAATAAATTTGAGGCTAATAAAGCTTGTAATACAGACAGTACCTAAGTGATTAGCATGCCTATATGAACAGCTGAGCAAGGAACTGCTCTAAAGTTCTGAGGTAATAAAGGAGACATATGAAATGAAGGCAGAGATGCTGTAGATGCTGTGAGATGTGTCAAAGCCCAGGTGTCTGAGGGCATCTGAGGGCACCTGAGGACACAATCCTGTCATTTAGTGCAGGCACATGATGGGGCTTTGTTATATAATAATGATTCAGCATAGACAACCATGCATGTACCACACGGCCTGCAAAGTGGTCCAGAATGTTTTGTCTTACTATGTCTCAGTAAGCTGATATAAACTACTAGAAGTGCTTTGTTGGAAAATATAGCTGGGTTCCTGCTTTGTGATATCTGCTCCATGAGTGTTCTTTTCTTTGGGAACCTCACCTGACTGAGCCACCCTTCAGCCCACTGGCCCCGACAGATGCCAAGCTTTATCCTGCTTTTAGTTACTGTCTTAGTCACTTTCTTGTTGCTGGGACAAAATATCTGACACTCACAATTTAAAGAAGAGGTTTATTTTGGCTCACAGTTTGTAGAGGATTCAGTCTACAGTTCAGTCCATACCTCCAAGGCAGGAAGGGCATGGTGGAAGGAGGTGGTGAAGGATAGCTTCTCACATGATGGCAGCCAGGAAACAGAGAGACAGGGGAGGAACCCCAGGAGGGAAAATACCCTTACAGGTTGAGCCCTAGTCACCTGCCTCTTTCAACCAGGCCCCATCTCCTAATAACACATTCAGCTAGGAAACATCAGTGGATTAATCCACTGATGTTATTAGCACTCCTACCAAGGGTTGATCAGAACCTCAGCTGCCTTTTGGGGGAAACGATAAGGAATAAAAAGAAAGAGACAGAGACAATTTTCAAAATAAAAAGGGGGAGTCTGGGAGGAAACCTACCTCTAGTAGACAGACTGGAAAAAAACTCCGCAGTTGACTCACTTTTATTAGCCAGTGACAAGTGCAGGAGGAGGGGTAGCATGTGTTTCATGGAACAGCAACTATAAAGAATGGGTGCATAAGGTTTAAATTAATGAGGAACCATATTGTCTCTACACCCAAATGCCTGTATATATGCTGCAACCTGCACAGCATAGGGTCAGAAGCAAGGGAAGAGTGGTGGAAGATGCAGAAAAAACAAAGAAACCAAGATTATTCTTGAAAGTTGGGACCAGGTACAACCATAGCTAATGGGAGCTAATGGCTGCCTGGAGTCCCATGTGCTCTTTATTTATACTGGATGGCAAACAGGAAGAGAAGGCGAGGCAAATAGTGCTACATGGCTTATGTGGCCTAGGCAGAAGGTAGTGTGATTGTTTCATAATCGGGGCATGCACAGGAAGAGAGCAGGGAAGGATATATAATGTAACTGTCTCCTGGGGCTGTGCCATTTAGAATCTACAATCTATGGAGGAGAAGGGGAGTAGGGAGGAGAAAGGGAGTAGGGAGGAGGCAAAGGGCCACCTTCAGGCTTGGCCCAAGGCATATCTATATCTATATCTATCTATCTATCTATCTATCTATATATATTCTGGGGGGGGAGGGGGTTGAGGCAGGGTCTCCCTTTGTAGTTCAGAATGGCCCTGAACTATGTAGCCTAGCCTGGCCTCAAACTTGCAGCGATCCTCCTGCCTCAGCCTCCTGAGTGCTGCGACCACAGGCATGGGCAATCACACCTGGCCCAAATGCCTGTACATTGACAACTGTCCTGAGCAGATATTGTCTTGCCTCGGGAGTGCTGGGTTATCCCCATTCTGCCCATAGTCAGGGGCCATGTGGCCTTCTGCATACTTCTGTTTCTGAGGCAAGATAACACTGACCTTGAGACTGTGAGATCTGAGTTATCTAGCCTAGTTCCCAACACACCCCCATGATCCTTCCAAAGCTTTGCCTCTCAACACATTAAAGTTTTGGGGGACATTCTAGTTCTAAATGATATGTTATCCATTGGACATCTGCAAGTCCAGCCTCTAGGTCCCTGAGACCTAAGAAGAAAACACAAATCATGCTTTTAATGAGTAACAGGTTAAGGGCCCAGGGATTTCCTTGTCTTTTGTTGTTATCATGGTCTCTAATTGTATCTCAACCAAACTGGATTAAAATATGACCTTTTCTTATGCTTAAGTGATACAGTCATTAAAGAAAACTTGGTAAATGCAGAAAGGTAAGAAAGAAGAGTAAGTCATCCACAGTTCCCTCACTTGAAGACAATATGTTAGTGTATACTTAGGTAATCCAAATTCAAATCCTAAAAAGATCCTAATAGTACTAGTGAAGACAGAGCTAGACTTATAGCTTACTCATGTAGGGAACAGGGAAAGCGGACGTTACTAGAACTTCTGCAGTAAGTCCTAGTCTCCTTCGAGCCACGGCAGCACAGGGAGAATTACAGGAAAGGTAGAAAAATGAGACTTCGATCAGTGCTGCTCTGGGCAGCAAAGACAAAAGCCCCCAATTTACCGCACCTTTTATTCAGTCTACCGGGAGAAACAAATGTAACAAATGACCCCGGACAGGGAGTTCAGTACATCGTTGTAAACAGGATGTAACAATCCAAGAACAATGAGGAACTGAGTAGATGAAGATTTTGTTCCGCCCAGGATGTCTTCAACTGGTGTAATCTTGTCCTGGAGAATCACACCATCACTGGATCATTGAGGTCTCGTTGTGACTGGAGTCCAAAATGGAATTATGTCTTGGAATGCCATAGCTGGGTTGTAGGCAGGAGAACTAGGCTAACCCAATAATTTCCCCCTAAAATTATGTAGCACTGCTCCCAACATACTCAGAGCTGTATTAGGCACTTTGCCTGAACTTGTTCATGAGTGAATTAGGAAGATTCCTAAATGGTGCTACTCAATGGTGCTATTCATTCTAAACGGTGCTACTCTCTGGACTCCTGTGTTAAGTAAGCCACACTATTTTGCAAACCATCTTGTTGCAGGCATGGTAGGACTCCCTGTCCTCCATTTCTTGCCCCAGAGAGGAGCTGGGTTAAGACAGAGACCTTTGCCTGCTGAGCCTAGCGTTTTGAAGACCAAAATTGGTACTGGCCCCCAATTTTTTTGGGGGGGGGTACTGGGAATTGAACTCAGGACCTTGCGCTTGCCAGGGAGCCACAGCACCACTGAGCTAAATAACCTGCCCCTCCCAATTTTTTTATTTAATAGCTTGATAAATTTTTACTTCCATATTTGTACATGGCATTTGCATCACTGTGTAAAAGCATTGCCAGCACCCCAGAAGTAGGATTGTCAGGAGGTTCCGTTAAGCCTTTTTACAGATAATATTCCTGCCCCTTTCCAAGAGGTTAAAAGCACCTTAAAAGTCTAGCAGTAAGGATAATTAACATTCCTTTCCCTCTTAATCATCCTTTATTTTAAATAAACTTTTTATTTTGAAATAATTTTACACTTACAGAAAAGATAGTATACTGTTCACATAACTTCTCCTAACACTATCATTTTACATAACCATGGTACATTTGTCAAAACTACTAGCTGCAAAAATTTACTTGCAATATATATATTTTTCCCAAACGTCCTTTATTCTACTCCAGGAGCCCATCTAGCAAAACACATCACATAGGACAGTTTCTCAATCTTTTCTTCTTTTTTGGGGGGGTGGGTATTGGGGATCGAACTCAGGACCTTGCGCTTGTGAGGCAGGCAGGAGCACCACTGAGGTAAATCCCCGGCCCCATTCTCTCTTTTTTCTGATGAGCTTGATAGTTGATGAGAAGGATTTAATTGGGATTTGTCTTATGTTTTCGTACTAGTCCTTTAGACTGTGGTTATAGTTTCTTGGGACAAAGACCACAAGAAAAGTGCTGTGTTTTCATCACACCATATCAACAGTAAACACAATCAACATGTGGAATCAGTGTCAACACTAATCTCGACTATCTAGTTGAGGCAGTGTGTCAGGTTTGTTTGTTTTTTTTTCTCAACTTTTATTTTTGTGATACTGGGGATTGCACCCAGGGTGTGCTGAACTATGTCTATAATCCTCCTTCCACTTTTTTTTTTTTTGAGACAGGGTCCTGCTATAATAGTTCAGATGGCCTTGAACTCACTAGGTAGCCCAGCCTGGCCTTGAAGTCATGATGATCATCCTGCCTCAGCCTCCCAAGTCCTGTGATTATAAAGTGTACCACCATGCCTGGCTTCTCAATAACTTACTGATATTTTTTTTTTCCTAATTCTCTTTTGCCTTAATTGGTTTACCTTCCTTCTTTGCTCCACTCTCCCTTTTTAAACTTTTAATTTTGAAATAATTATAGAATCATAGGGTAGATTCACAAGACGTTGCAAAGAAATGCACAGGGAAGTTTCTTAGCGTAAGGTTATTTCCGCTCAACTCCTTTCCCTACTTTACTCTTTGGAAGTCACTATGCACAGCACACACTTAGGGGTGAGTGGGAGTAACACAACTCTCTTGATGGGGTATTAATAGTTACAGTTCCTTTGTAGGAAATATTTATCCCTTTTCCCTATTTCCTTATTCATTTACTTGTATCAGTACAAATATACTCCTGGTTATAACTTCATCTTATGTGATTTATCTTATTGCTAACATCCTTCCGGGTTTGGGCCCGGGCGCTCTTTCAGCTTGACGATGCCCTTGTCCTCTGATACACCCCTGTTCTTCTCTTTTTTGAGAGCTTCCTTATTTCAGGGCACAAAAGATATTCCAAACTCAGCTTCCGTTTTGTGTGCTCCAGTCCTATAGGCGCACATTTCTTTCGGAAGCTCTGGTCCTTTTTGTTAGGCAATAGATTTTCGAAGCCGAGATGAGGGTGCTAACGACTTTTTGGCTGAAAACCGAGCCTATCCTCAGCAGAAAAGAAGCAGCGCGCTGACCTCGTTCAGGGGTCTTCCCGGCGTGCTCAGGGCACCTCCCCTCGCCGTCCCGAGCCAACTTCCGGCGTGCCCCGTGCACGCGTGCCGGCGGTGACGTCAGGACGTTGGGCCTGTGCAGTCGCGGCAGAGCGCTCTGCGGCGTCTTTATACTCCTTGCCTAGCTTCTGCCAGCGGCTAGACGCTTTACAGGTGACTGTGCGGCTCCGTGGGGGCGACCCAGGCCCCTCCCTGGGCCTGGGCCTGGGCCTGGGCCTCCCCCTCCCTCGCCTTTTCCGAACCTGCCCTTGAGTCGCGCCGTCCGCTCTGCACTCCGCGCCCCTCTGAAGGGAGGAACACCCCACGCTCCAGCCGCTCTGCCTGCCGCCTCCCCCTCCCGGTGTCCCGCCCTCCTTCCGCCCCCGCGCAGTCCGGGCTCCCGAGGGGACTCGACGCCCAGCGCGCCCCCCCCCCCCCCCCCCCCCCAGCCGCCTGGCGCTGCTGCTTCGGCACTGAGCCCCTGCCCCGCGGCTCAGGCTCTGCCTCCTCAGTTCGGTTTCGCGCTCGCGGCTGGGGTCCGCCCTCACTGGGATTTCCTGGCCGCTGGTCTCTTACTGTCTTTGTTTTAGGTATCTAGTTGTGGGTGATTTTGTATCTTTTTGAACATTTGATTCTGTTACCCGACTGGATTGAGAACTGGAGAGGTCTGGGAGTTTCGTGTCGGCCTACGTTTTTATTTTTAAGTCCCAGACTTGGAGCATTTCATATAGAAAGAAGGGGCCTCATAGATGAGCGAATAATAAATTTCTAGTGTTTCAAGGTCGGTAGAGGAAGGGAATGGGTTGGGTTATCAGAAAACTCAGAAATTAATTAATCCAGATACACTGATGGGTGGCTCCAGAGAATCACTTTGCTGCCTTCCACTAGACTATATAAGGGAGGAGCCAGAGGGTAGAGAAATAGTTTGCTGGTTTTCTCTGACCTTTGAGTAAGTTGGTGCCTAGGCAGGAAGTGACTTGTCTGAAATCACGTGGGGAATTAGGGTCCAAGCTGGGACTCTGTTTACTTATGGGCCTCAATTCAATATTTGTCAGACAAACTGGGTGTGGAGGTGAAGGCCAGGACTGAGGCAGGTGCATCACAAGTTTGAGCCCAGCCTTGCAATTTAGCAATTTAGTGAGATCTTGTCTCAAAATACAAAATAAATAAAGGACTGGGGCTGTAGCTCAGTGCAAAGCGTGGTTCAATCCCTACTGCCAGAAAAAAAAAATGTATTTGTCGGACAAATTAATGACCAAATCGTGCATGCTCAGACACATTTGTGTATGCGTGTTCGTGCAGTGGCTATGTCTGCTGCAGGCCCTCAAGGGGGTACTGCTGTGAATGCCCCATAGTGTTAGGCTCAGGTGTCTTCCCCGGGTTCGGGAAGTGCTTAACTGTGGGTTGGTCTGCTGAACAGAATCTGAGGCTTGGGAAGAGACTTCGGCAGGTGGTGTTTGTGCTTCCCTTGTATTTGGTGTTTAAACTGTGACAGTGATCTCTTACTCTCCCCTTCACAGAGCTTCTCGAGGGCAGGAATCAAGTATGCTTTGCAGGATTTTTCCGGGCAGAGTAGTAATTGCCTGGTGTTTAATAATTGCTCACTAAAGTAGGCTGAAGAAAGGGCCCAGCAACTGGGATGGTGATTCTTCACTAGCATTCATCTTAAGGTTATCAGCAGATTTTATGAGTAAATATTCTGATAATCTCAAGGGCTGTGAATTTATGAAATGTGTACAACATTAGGGAAGAAAGGATATATGCACTCTTGTAATGTCCTTCCTTCGGAAGACCGAAGGTTTTCCTTAACTAGCTCAGAAAAACTTTGTTGGGCCTCACGCGCTGTGTAAATATTTCATGTCTTTCTCCTTTTCATTTTTTTGATACCGGGGATCGAACTCGGGTTCTTGCACTTGCGCAGCAGGCGACAAAACCACTGAGCTAAATCCCCGGCCCTCTTCTTTTTGTGTCTTACTGGATATCTAAAAGGGATTGTAGAATTTATTTATTTATTTTTTGGTACCGGAGATCGAACTCGGGTCCTTGCGCTTTTGAGGCAGGAGGTGGAACCACTGAGCTAAATCCCTGGCCGTAGAATTTATTAATGTCTGTAACCACCAGAACTTCCAAAGAACTATTAAAAGTGTAATAAAAACGGGTATAATTGACCCAATCATGTTTTGTTGTGTATTGTTGATTAGGGGAACTGACAATTGGACTTTGTTCCCTCTGGCTTCTTGGTTTGTCTGCCCTGTGATGGTGCTTGTATTAGGCTTGCTGTTATGAAGTTGTTCCCAACTGATTCTGGCAGTGGCCAGCATCACATTTGAACTGTTGTGCATGCTGTTGGCTTCTTCAACTGTTCTGTCCTCCCTGGTTTTGGAATCATATCTATTCTTGAAGAACAGAGATAAGTTTTCCTTTTTTTGTAAGGAAGCAACTTTTACAGTGAAACTCAGCTCTGAAAGAACTGAGAAACAAACTGAACGAATCAGTTGAAAATGAGTAACCTTGAAGATGAGCTCTTGAAAAAAAATAGTGTAATTTTAAAAGTTCTTTTTGGGGGCCAGGGATGTAGCTCAACAATGCCACACCTGCCTGGTAAGTGCAAGGTCCTGAGTTTGATTCCAGGTACTGGGAAAAAACCCAAACATAATATAAAAATTCTTTTGGAGCATCTGCTATACAGCTCTTTGTCCATATCTCATTTAATTTTCATGATGAATTGTGTCTTGTCATTCAGGTAAGAAACTGAGGTGTAGAGTTTTTAATAATTTGTCCAAAGTCATTCCGAGGAGTAACAGGTTTCAGGCCCAGAACTGTCACATTATGAAGGTAGTCTTTTCTTTCTTTTTTTTTTTTGGTACGGGGAATCAAACTTGGGACCTTGTGCTTGCAAGACAGGTAGCAGAACCACTGAGCTAAATCCCCAGACCCTGGAAGGTAGTCTTTTCACCTGGTAAGTTGGTCCATTTGCATTCAATTTTTTGAAAATGATTTGAATTAAAATTAAAATTTGAATTGTTGAATATGGTTTATATTTTCAGACTTTTTATAGGTTTAGGATGTGATAATAATGTGGCTGTTTTCATCTAGCTTACTTGTATCTTACCTTTGGAGACCCACAGCAGGACTTGCACCATTATCTGATGTGTTTAAGTTTATGCATTAGATTCTGTTCCAGAATATAAATAGTAAGATGCTGAAATAAGTTACAGAGTGCTGTGGAATTCAGCATACCAAGGTCTTTAAAGACTAATTTGGTCATGTATTTTGGGAAGTGTTTTAAGATAATTTTTTTTTTTTTGTACCAGGGATCGAACTTGGAACCTTGTGCTTGCGAGGCAGGTGGCGGAACCACTGAGCTAAATCCCCAGCCTGGAAGTGTTTTAAAATATGCTCGAGAGTATTTTAATGTACTGTCTTCTCAGCCATTTGAGAAGTGCATGTTCTTCTAGAATGTTATGGGCAAATTTTAGCCAAGTGGACAGTGACTAGTAGTAGTTGCTATGGAAGCAGCTAGTGTGGGTTTTTAGTAACTGTCTAGACACTGTGCCATACACTTACATATTATTTCACTCACTTTTCCAAACATCTAATAGAGTACTGTACGTGGTAGTGTTTCTCATTATACAGATCAAAAAACTAAGGCTTGGGTGGGGGATTTAGCTCAGTAGTGCTGTACCTGCCGTGCAAATGCAAGGTCCTGAGTTCGATACCCGGTACCAAAAAGAAAAACAACTGAGGCTTGAAAAAATTAAGTATCTTGCCGAAGGTTAAAAATGATAACCACAGCTAAAAATTCAGTAGCACAGTGGTACAGCACTTGCTGAGCACATATACATAAAAGGCCTGGGTTTAATCCCCAGTACAGCCTAAAACAAAACCAAAATAAAACAAGAAATTCAATAAATAGTTGAGCCAGAATTTGAACACTGGTGTTTTGACTGCTAACCCCATGCTCATAACATTAGACTTTATGAATTTCTAAGGGCATATGATCACGTCATACTTTATGACTTTTGGTTGCCAAGACACACTAAGATCTTCCCCCAATTTAAAAACAAAAACAACCCTAAGAAGAAAGGTACAAGTATGTAGATTTCATCTAGATTTTAGGTTATGGTATATTTAAAGATAATTTAAATTATTCCTTACATTTAAAAACTTTTTTCTAGATACAGTTTATAAAATTGGTGTTGATGGAGCTGTGATTTTTTTTCTTTTGGTGTTGGCCATTGAAACTAGGGCCTTGGTCATGGTAAACACATGCCCAGCCCTAAGCAGGGTATTTTATATTTAATGTTTGTGTTTATTCTCTACTAATGCCCCTAATCTCTTAGGATTGCCTCCATTCTTTTAGAGAAAGACTCATTGATTTTTTTGTTTTGTTTTGTTTTTGGTTTGGGTTGTGCTGGGGATTGAACCCAGGCCTTTTATGTATGTATGCTTGGCAAGTGCTGTATCTCTGTGCTACATTCCCAGCTGTGTTGAATTTTTAGTCGTGGTTACCTTTTTTTAACAGAGCTCTGAATATTTGTATTTTAGCACATTCTGTTTTTGTTTTTTGAATACAGTGTGTATCATTTCTTGATGAAAATGGTTGTCCCCCCCATTTCTTTTGGTCCCTGCATTATCTCTGATTCTTGTGAATTGTGCCCCCCCATTTATCTTTTACGGTCTAGGCCAGTGGTGGTGAACCTAGGGCACTCGTGGCACAGTGGGCTGTTTATATCATTATCATTGAAAGCTCTAGAAGGTTCACTGTCATTGGTCTAGGCTTTCCTCACATGTTGCATGGTGCTTGCTCTCTGTTCCTGTTTTAACGGAGAGGTACTAAAAAACTGATAGAAAGTTTTATCTTTGTTTAAAGTTTATCACCTGGTAAGCTTCTCTGAAGAGGAAGGCAGAAACTGTCATTTTAAAGAATCCTCACTGGCCTTTTCTCTTGGGCTGTGCCCTTGTCCTGGCCCTATCTAGTGTCTAGTAGAGGTAAGTACAATAAAGAAAGAGGCTGGCATCTTAAGACCTTCATGTCCTTTGTTTGTCTTCTAAGTGTGGCATCTCTTGTCAACTCAGCTGTGCCTGTGTGCTCAAGCCTGGAGCTTTTAGAGGAACATCTTTAAGATCACAGAAGGCTGCGGCCTAGGTGGGTAGAGGGCCTACTGGTTCTT